TAATTTCTAGGGCTACAGGGGTACAAATGTCATTCACCAATAAACTTTAATGGACTTCTCATTTACAACAATTTTTAAATTTTGTTTCTAACCTACACCAATCTATCCATCCATCATCTAAAATATTTAAAAGGATAAATATATTCATGCTAAAATTTTTGTTAACGTCAACGTATTTTAATTACACTGAACATCCCTAAACTTTTCTTGTTTTTACACTTATGTTCCAACTTAAAAAAAATAAAATAAAAATTCCCATCAACCTTCAATTAATTTTCGTATCTTGTCTATAGAGACGCTTCTTGTCCAAAATGATTGTTATGAGGCCAAAAAGGTGTATTTATCTCTTGTATTTTTAAATTATCGAAATAAACAAAGTACAAAACTTAAACAAAATATTTGCCAATCTTTTCAATGCACCTTAGTAGAATATTTGGACTAAAATCGTGATTAGAGATAAAATATATTAATTAATTGAAGAATAAGAATGATAATGATAATGAAATGAGAAAAAAGTTGAGGACATAAATTCATAAGTGAGTAAATAGTGGAAATCTTTCTTATAATTAAAACATGGTGCAAATATGAAAAATTGTTGTGTGGATATAATTGTTTACCCGATTTAAAAAGTGAAGGTTGGGGAGAAACTTTTGAAAGACGATAATACCCTAATTAATTTTGTATATTTCTAATTCATCCTTCAATTATTATAGAACCTAAAAGTTATATAACCTACTAGTCAATCGTTATTTGAAGCATTTTAGGTCGAGAATGTGGTATTACACTCATATTCTTATCTTCAACCAATGTTACCTCCTAAATCCACAGAAGAGGTCACGGATGTGTGTTTTTAAGGTTGTTAATGTGCCGGGGGTTTATGGGATGTCGACAACAAATAATGGGCATTGATGTCTAGCAATTGGCGGGTCATGGTCCTAGAGGGTGGAGGGAGAGCTGGTGGTGGTGGTAGTGGCAACGGCTCCCGATACTGCAGTGTTTAATATACACATATATATGTAATGTGTATGTATATAAGCATACATGAGCATGTATTTTGCTATTTTTGTGTTTTGAGAGCATTAGATCTTGAAGTTTTGATGGGTTTTTACATATGCGAAAATATTTATGCAATTGAATAAGTTTTTAGCTAGAGGCCCTTTTTACATTGTCAAATAGGGGATTCAAGATTCCGTAGATATTTTTCTTGAGATCCTAGATCAGTAATTCTTTTTCATTGAATTTCTTTAGTTCACTTTTTTCTCTTATATCTTTTACTGTCATTTTTTACTTCTGTGTGGGCATATGAAGGGGGTAATTTTTAGAAAGCCTGGAAAATTCTTCCTATTTCCCACAATGGTCTCTTTTGTTAAAAATACTATTTTGCTCTTACTAAAGTTATTTGCAAGATGTATCTTATATCTTTAAGGATTTATCAATCAGGACTTATATCTATATTTTTTAATCTTTCAAACACCTTTAAATATTCTTTGTATCTGGATAGTTCTTCAAAGATTATAGGTTGGCCTTTCTTGGTTATATGTCCTCGAACTAATCCTTCTGAAATTTCTTCTCGTATATTCCTATGTTTGATTATGATATCTTCTACAGAATCAAATCCTATATTATTTCTACAATTATAATCTATATCTCTATATATTT